GGACCGATGATGAATCGGGGAAAGGGGAGGGGAAATGATGCTTTGTGGCCCCGTTCGAAGTAGCACGCGCAAGACGATCGAGCGAAGTCAATGAGGGACGATAGACGGATCGTGTTTCCCGGTCGGCATGAGGCGATCGGACGTCACGTTGCTCGACGTGCGCCATTGGTCGAGATGCTGACAAGCCCCTGAATTACTAACGTGGGCGACGGATGCCAAACACGCCGGTAAACAACGCCACCGATCCCACGGGCCCGGATCGGGCGATGTTTACTTGGGATTGATCGTTCCACTTTTCGATCTAGGGGGCCATCGATAGGGGACCGTTGTCCGTGGGATTCGGAGAATTTCGATGACGCGCGGAGATAATGGGCTGAGCGTCTACTCGGGTTTCGGGAAATGTACGAGATCGTTCGATGATTTGAACTGGAGATGTTCGGATGTTCGTAGGTGCTGTGGGATTGATTAGGAACTCGATGAATAGCGGACGTTGCGAATGTAGAGTAGCTTTGTTCGTTCCTTCGAACAGCTGTTGAGGTTGCTCTGAATATTCTTCGATAGGTCTTGAAGGGCTAGCTACTTTTTGATGAAACCATCTCGAGCTACCTACGCTTCGAAAAAGGAGAACTTGAGGTTATATCGATGAGTTCGTGAAATTCTTAGATTTCCTAGGGTTCTCTAGGACATGTCTTTAGCGAGAGAGACGTAGACAGCACTCCTGTTTGTAATCACGTTCGCAATCCCTATCGCGTGCTGGAACTATATAGAAGCGGATGAACTTAGCGTTCACAGCTGTACATAGGTGGGCGTAAGGAATTAGAGCAGAAAAAAGAGGAATCGATGGCGCTAGAGTAGAAACAGGGATGAGTAGTGGAGTAGAAAGAGTAATTAACAGTGCTGGAATAGGGGAAGATCCTTAAAGGCTACTTCGATCACAGTCACACCGAATGTTGTATGATTTAATTGCGATCCAATCGCACTTTCAGGTGCAAGATGCGCTATCTCCTAAAAATGTCTTCGCCAGTCATCAAGTCTAGCCGGTAATTGCCCGATTACATCTATCCGGCGATTGTAACCCGGTTCGGACTAGGTTTAACAAGTTCCACTCGGAGTCGAGTTTCGCGCATCTGGATAAGCCAGCCTGGAAACCGTCTGCAAGAGCATCTGTATAGATAATTGTGGTCCATTGATGATGCACGTTACTTCTCGGAAATGGATCTCGCGATTCAGTGAGGTGGATCGGAACGGATTGCACGTGTTAAGCTCCGGAGCTCGTGTAAGACAACGCTGTTCAAATCCCTGTCTGAGCCTGTCCAAAGGCAAGCTTTGCGATAGACCTGTATTTATAGGTGGCACGCATCTGTGTTCGCTTAATGAACTGCTAGTAGTGCAACAGACGTGAAATCGTACCCATTGCTCTCTATAATTGCGTTGTCGGACCCTGCCAGCAGAATGATGGTCGAGGAATACGGTAACGCAGTCTATAGCTGCGTTATCGGTATCCCCGACAAATCGATGATTCGTACATTTGAGATCTTTACTATTGAACTACGTTTAACCCTTTACACTTGGTGACTCTCTTGGTAAAATAGAATCTGATATTTAATGTTGAACTTCGTATAACGCCTCGATACGCGAAATATCGGAATAAAATAGCTTTGTTCCTCGATGCGCTTCTGAGTTCCCTTCGAGTTAGTTTCAAAGAATATCCTCTTCGCCTCGTCGAAGAATGTTAAATATTTCTGGTAAGAAACTTCCGAGTGCAAAGGGTTAAATGCTCGATAAACTATGATTGTGTGTTCTGTGTAATTGCAGAATTTCTTACGCAGATATAGCTTAGTGTTTAAAACGCAACGGTTCTGGCGATTTTCAATAACAAAGTGACTAACGCCATTGCTTCGGAATATTCCGAATGTTGAATAAAACTCTCGTTACCCCTGCAAGGGAATTAGCAAACAATCGTAAATACAATTTTCCTCGATAACCGAACGTAAATAACGTCTGCTACACGTATTTCTCGGTTGATTCTCGTAAATTTGCCGCGGATACTTACAATTCTTAGACCAGTGGAAAATATTTATCTCTTACGCAAATCCGTTGACAAACAAACCGAATCCAGTTATAAGAGGTTCGGGAAGAAGTAAACATTAAACAATGATCCCCCTTTCAGATGCTATGAACTTGACGCCACTTTAATCGCCATGGGACTGTTGTAGAAAATAAAAATAATCATCCCCACTGCTCGATGTACAATCTTCTCAACTATGATTCCAAGGGAACTTTACGGAAAACTCCATTGCATTCCCCCCTTACATCTCTCAAAAACCAAAGAAGACTACGATTCTCAAAGAAACAAGAATTCCTCGAAAACGCCGAACCCCGCCCTGTATAAAAAGTAAAAAAGCGATAACCCAATCCGATACACGTACATTTCATCGAGTCGAGCTCTAAATCGTGCGACCAATTTATTCCCGATCCTGACTAACC